TTAATTTGCTTTATAAAACTTTCATCTTGTCGTCATTGTGCTTTCTGGTTTTTGTTAGGCCATGATAAAATCTAAGGAAATCAAGAACGAACAACACGATTTGGGATAGGAACCGCCGTTGTCGTATCCCTAGAAAATGGTCGTAAACAGCGACTCACCTGCCAAACTGGTTTGGATTGAGATTTTTATCGGGTATCAGGGAACCATGTGATAAATTAGACTTGATCAAAACGGGCCAAAACTTGAAATTCAGCATTTTTGACCGACTCATGCCAAATTCTAATTATTCTTTACTTTTAAACTTTCTATTTGAAAATAAAAAATAGTGAAAGAAAAGAGATGACTGCAATTCGTCATTTGCACATCACTTATTCGGGAATAAAACCATAAAAATTCAAAAGGAACTGAAAATGTTTAGGATCGTTTTAATATTTAAAATAACTAAATAGATTGTTATGTTTAGTTTTTTACTAACAAATATCAAACGATTCCCTATAAAATACACTATAATTTGATCATTATGATATCAAATAATTATATAATATATATTTGAAATGATAATAATTGGACTAATTGGGTTGGTTGAGGTTGAACCATTGAATAACTTTAAAATACATTATATTTTAGCCACTAAGATATAAAATAATAGCATAATATATATTATGCTAGAGAAAATAGCTTGTTTTATAATGGCAAACCAATGATGTTCATTTGTTTTACTTGATGGCCAAATCCCGTGTAGATCAGGCCCATTCAACTCTTTTATTTTATGGTTAGCGGTTAGCCCATTAGATACCATGCATTAGTTTATTGTTAATTATTTTATTTTTAGCAATAAAAAGGAGTATTGTTTTTGCTTTTCATATATATTTTTATCACCATGGAGAAATAAAAGGGCTTAAAGAAAAAAATTGACACTCCTGGACCCGTTTAAATCCGCATGTGTACGGTAAGTTGGCCCGTTCCACAGAGAAAGAGAAAAAAGTTGATACTCCCTATTCTACCCTTCCTACAAACGCTCCTGGAGCAGGGAATTTGAAACGGGGGAAGAGTTTTTTCCTCCCTGCTATTATATGCTTTTTATTTAAAAAGATACAACAAACGTACTTAGTGTGATTGGTTATGATCCTTGCTTTTCTTTAAAATGGACATGGTTCGAATCCCAGTAAGTGTCTTTTTAATGAATAAAAAAAAGTAATTGTGAAGACTAAAATGTCCTTCCTACTTTCACTCTCGTTGCAGGAAATACGGTACAAACAATTGGCCCTCATCGTGTGGCTAATTTTGAATATTCTCTCATTTGATTTCCGAAGGAAGAGGATATCTGTTGAGAAGTAAAATTAATCGACCCTAAAAAACGACAGGGAAAAAAACTGCATCTGCGAATTTCGGGAAGAAAGTTGACTCCCCTCCATCACTCACGACCAGCGTCGGTTCAACATGAAGCAACTAACGGAGACAGAGCACAAAACGTTTTCAAGTTCCAGATATGGGAACCTCCTATTTGTCTTTTCCATGGGAGAAGCAATGATAGTAGATTATCAAGCTTCAACTTCGACATCTGTTGGGAGAAACGAGGCTACTTATTTTATTTCATCAAAAGGTAAAAATTACACTGTTCTTAATTCAATATATACAGGTTGTAAACAGGGAAATAACAAAACAGTACTTAAACATAAACAAACATTACAATAAGGTCCTTAAACTAAGTCTACTTTTACAATATAGTCCAAAACCCCCCCTCAAGCTGGAGCATGAATATCCAGAGTGCCCAGCTTGGACTGCAAAACAGAAAACACTGCAGTAGGCAAAGACTTTGTAAAGAGATCAGCAACTTGGTTAGTAGTTGAAATATGCAGTACTTTAATTAAACCAGAAGCTATCTTGTCACGAGTTAGATGACAATCTAAACTCTATATGTTTAGTACGCTCATGTGCAACTAGATTTTCAGCGATACGTATAGCAGACTGACTATCAGAGTACAAAATACTGAGAACAGAAAAAGAAACGCCCAAAGCAGCAAACAAATAGTGTAACCATTGAATTTCACAAGTTAGATCTGCCATAGCCCTATACTCAGCCTCAGTAGAGGACCGAGATATGGTTTTCTGTTTCTTAGAACGCCAAGCAATCAACGGATTACCCAAAAACACACAGAAACCTGTTGTGGAGCGGCGAGAATCAAGACATCTAGCCCAATCACTGTCTGAAAAAGCCTTTAGAGTCAGTTCTGAATTACTAGGAAAGAATAAACCAAGACCTGGATTTCCTTTTAGATAATGAAGAACACGATAAGCAGCTTGTAAATGAACATCAGTAGGTGCACTCATGAACTGAGTCAACTGATGTACAGCAAAAGCAATATCTGGACGCGTGTTACACAAGTATAATAGACGGCCTACCAAACGACGATAAACTGAAGCATCATCAAGTAAAGTGCCAGTCTTACTAGACAACCTAATTCCAGGATTACAAGGTGTGCTAACAGGTTTAGCAGCAAGTAATCCAGAATCAGACAAAAGATCCAAAACATACTTTCTTTGGCATAGAGAAATACCAGTGGACTTACGTGCAATTTCCAGACCAAGAAAGTATTTAACATGTCCTAAATCTTTGATCTTGAATGCATCATCTAAACCTTTCTTAAGGTTTTCTATTTCAGACAAGTAATCACCAGCCAGAATTATATCATCTACATACACAAGCAAGGCTAAAAACTTTCCATCCTTATGTTTGGTAAACAATGAATAATCTGCTTTTGATTGTTGATAACCAGCATTTAAAAAAAATTCTGTTAGCTTGTGATTCCACTGCCTACTAGCCTGTTTTAGACCATAGAGTGATTTATTCAATTTGCATACAACATCACCAGAATTAGGAGGAAGATTTAGGCCTAGGGGAACTTTCATATACACATCTTCATCTAGTTCTCCATGCAAAAAAGCATTATTTACAACTAATTGATGTAAATGCCATCCTTTAATTGAAGCTAAAGCAAGTAAAGCCCTAACAGTTGTTAATTTTGCAACTGGTGAAAAAGTATCTAAGTAATCTATACCTTCAGTTTGAGTATAACCTTTTGCAACTAATCGAGCCTTAAAACGCTCAATAGTTCCATCAGGGTGGAATTTTACCTTAAATACCCATTTATTTCCAATGGGTTTGACACCTGGTGGACGTAGAACAATGGTCCATGTTTTTGTTCTGATTAGAGCATCCAATTCAGTGTTGACAGCAGCATTTCAGCGTTCATCCTTTGCTGCCTCATGATAACTAGTAGGTTCTGAAATAGAACTTACTGCATTAACAAAACTAGAATGACCATTAGCAAGGTTAGTGTCAGAAATAATAGATGATAATGGATAAGGAACAGACGAGCTAACTGCAGAATTACAAACATAATCTTGCAATCGAGCAGGACGCTGTCTATTCCTAACAGGTCTGCCTGAAGGTTCATTATAAAAAACAGGAGGGTATTCAGGAGGTGGAACTCTATCCTCCTCATCATACATAAGAGAAGATGGGACATTGGAATGTTGGTCGGGGGCCATTGATGGCACTAAACCATCCACTGTGTTGGCATCATTAGATGTAACTACAGTAGATGGAAGGACTTGAATAACAGGAAAGGAAAATTCAGCTGAATCCAGGTTGTGACTCTTAGAGAAGAAAGGAAAAATAGACTCGTGAAACACAACATCTCGAGATTCAACCATAGTATGAGTGGCTAGGTTATACAGCTTGTAACCTTTAGTGGCAAAAGGAAACCCTAGGAAAACACATGGATCTGCTCGAGGTTCAAACTTGGGACGATTGTGAGACAAGGTGGAAGCATATGCTAAACAACCAAACACACGAAAACCACTGTAATCTGGAAGAGATTTATGAAGCAACTCATATGGTGACTTATTCCCTAAGACAGGACTAGGGACTCTGTTAATAAAAAAAGTGGCATGTAAAACAGCATGACCCCAAAACCTAGAATGAAGAGAAGACTGAAACAAGAGGGCACGAGCAACAGCAATAATATGCTGCTGCTTGCGCTCCACCCGACCATTTTGCTGAGAAGACTCGACACAAGTAGTCTGATGCACAATGCCTAAGGAATCAAAGAATGCATGCATCTTAAACTCTTGACCATTATCTGACCTAAGGGTTTTAATGCGAGCATTATACTGGTTTTGAATGTGAGCAACAAAATTCTGAATCAATGAACGAACCTCAGATTTCTTATGCATAAGGTACACCCATGTATTCCTAGAATAGTCATCTACTATAGTCAAAAAATAACGATGACCATCAATAGTAGGAACACTATAAGGACCCCAAATATCTGTATGCACAAGATCAAACATATGCTCAGCTTGGGATTCACTTACCATGAAGGGAAGACGTTTCTGTTTGGCCAGGGGGCAAACAGAACAATGTTTGGTACATTTAGAATCAATCCCACTTATTCTAGATGCCAATGTTTGTAAACGAGACAAAAATACATGACCAAGGCGAAAGTGCCAAAGATCAAAATCATGAACAGTCTTATCAAACAATACAGAAAAACCAGAAGAATCTGGACAGGTTGAAGAATGTTGGTAGAGGCAGAGGAGCTGGAGTGTGTACTTTTGCTGAAAAACAGTAAAGTCCACCGCTCACTCTAGCTATACCAATCATCTTGCGGGAGGCCAGATCCTGTAACAAGCAATGATCATTAAAGAATGTCAAGGTACATGCGGAATCTTTGCTTAATTTGCTAACAGAGATCAAGTTAAACACGAATTGAGGTATTAAAAAACATTCTTAAGAGTTAACTGCTCATTTAACCTAACCGAGCCTACATGTGTAACAGGGACTCGAGAACCATTAGGTAGAGACACAAACACATCACACACAGCAACAGGTGACAACAAACAAGAAGGATCAGACACCACATGATCAAACGCACCACTGTCTAGAATCCACTTGCAAGAACTATCATGCATAGTATTGGCAAGAACAACCTTACCTCCATCCTAGCTCGAGGAAGCAGCTGAGGAAGCCAGGAATGACACACCAGTAGTGACAGAGTTCACAGTAGGAACTGGAAGAGAAAGAGTCTGAGGATGACTCTGAGCAAACAAAGCTCTATACTGCTGCTGTGTCAAAACAACAGAATCGGAAGAAGTACTTCCGTTCTCACTGGAACCAGAACTGTTAGTGTCGATAGACTCACTAACTACAGCATTGACTCTAGCACGAGGCTTATAACCTGGTGGATAACCATGTTTCTTGTAACACCGCTCAACAGTATGCCCAGTCAAGCCACAAAACGTACAGACATGGCGTTTTGACTGATTATTACCCTTGTGTGGACCAGACTGAACAGCACAAGCCATAGGATTGACAGATTTAGGGTTAGGGATTCTAATTTGACGCTCATGCTGGGCTATCATAGAGAAGACCTTGTTAATGGGAGGCAAAGGATCTAACAACAAAATCGAGCATCTAACAGACTCAAAATCCTCATTCAGACCTCTCAAGAACCTAATAACCTGATCTGCTCTCATGTACTCAGCACAAGAACATCGAGGAACACATGCACAGGAACGCACAGGACGATAAGTCTTCAACTCATCCCAAAGAACCCTAAACTTGGTGAAGAACGCACTTATAGACAAATCGCCTTGCTTCAGCCCGTAGATCTCATACTGGAGATCAGCGATTCGAACCAGATCTGCGATGCTGAAGCGCTCCTGGAGATCACGCCAAACCTCGACCGCGGTGTTGAGCCAGAGAACACTCTGTGCAATCTCCGGCGAGAGCGACCGGAGAATCCAGCTAAGGACGAGTGTATCGCACATCTGCCAGGCCTGGAAGAGCGGATCACCAACCGGAGGCGTCGGGACGGAAGGATCGACGAAGGAAATCTTGTTCTTCGACAAAAGACCAAAGCGCATGGACCGAGCCCAGGAGTGGTAGTTCGGCCCGGTGAGAACGACCGAGACAAGCTGCGCTGTGGACGAGTCGCCGGAACCGATGAAATATGGATGATTCGGTGCAAGCGTCGCCGAGATCGGCAACGGAGGTTGGAAGGACGAGACGGAAGAAGTCGCCATGGAAGAAAACGCGGAAGCAAGAAGAAAGAACGAAACGTCAAGAATTCTCTAGAAACTGATTTGCTCTGATACCATGTTGGGAGAAACGAGGCTACTTATTTTATTTCATCAAAAGGTAAAAATTACACTGTTCTTAATTCAATATATACAGGTTGTAAATAGGGAAATAACAAAACAGTACTTAAACATAAACAAACATTACAATAAGGTCCTTAAACTAAGTCTACTTTTACAATATAGTCCAACAACATCCAAAAGATGCGGAACATAGAAGAGAGAGAAACCAAATATGGGATCTCCAAATGTACCCCGAGTTTTGTTTCTAGAGAGAACTCTACTGTGGGTATCTCTAATTGATGATGTTGGGCACTAATGGAGGAGTAGAAGAGGTTTTTGTGTCTCAATTATCAGTAACCCAGATTCAACAAATGGCAAAAAAAAAAAAAAAAAAATGATGAAGAACAACAGACCCAGATTCTGGCGAGCCCACCTACCCATGGCAAAGATGTTCCCAATGCCGTACAACCCATCACTTTTGTTCGATCGATCTCCCTAAGGAAGAAGCTCTGAATCCGAAAGTCAAAAAAAGCAAATCCGAAAAACTTGGAAAGCGAAGAAGGAAAACCCAGTTCGGGAGAAATAAATTCTTCCCCAACCAATTACAAGCGATCGCGACAAGCAATAGTAGCAGCGTGCTCCCAATTTCAGGGAAGCGTTAATCGCTTCTGCCGTCGCCGGATGGCATCTCAAAAAGCTCTAAAACCATATATGCTCCTCTGCTCCAAAACCATATATGCTCCAAAACCATATTTCGGTCGTCGTCATCGGTTCAATCTGCACACCACAAGGAGGAGAAAGTCAGTGAAACCAAATCGAGGAACCTATCGCCAGTGCCACACAGATGAGCACAACTAATCCGCATCTGCCTCCGAAGCCTGCATCATCGTGGAAGTTTGGCCCGGTCTGCGACACAGATCTGCGTAGCCAAAACTCGCCAACACGCGCCATGATCCACCTCCGAGGCCACTGTCCGCCCCCACCTCATCATCTCTTCCCTGGAAATGCTCCGCGCGGCCAGTAATTGTTGAGTAGAAGGAATAAGCTCCGCTCAATAAGCTACGATCGGCCTCACAAAAAACTTTCTACCCGATAAGCTCGCTAATTTTAGAAGCCACAAAATAGAGAGGTTGCTCACGCAAAGTGAAGGAGCAGTTTTTGAAAAGAAAAAAAAAAAAAAAAAAAGAACATGAAAAGAAGCCAAAGAGGAAGACTCACATAACACTCGGTCTTTGGGTTCAAGCACATCACGCGGGTGTTCCTGTTCCGCGTCCGGCGTCCCTGTTTTGCAACGCAGCCAACTTTCAATCCCACGGCCCCCAATGCATCCGACCTGGATTGGCTCCACTGGAAGCGCGGACCACCAACACTGTTCTGCATCCTTGCTTCGAGCAATGCGAAGCCCAGTCAGTCATCCTCCCAACAGGGTGCGGTCCACTGTGTCACAGGGGCCCAACACCAACACTCGCAATCCGCTCGCCCCACACCTGGATTCGATGTTGTTAAAAAATCAAATGCTCCCACAGTGTTTCAAACTTGTGTCCCTATTTCAAATATTCATCACGTTGAAGCTCATTCACCAGTGAGATAACACACCTAATTATGAACATAATGAGCTCGACCTGATATTAGCTGCAGTCATTGATGTCCCCGCCAGTAGAGCTTATCGCGCCACCGGTCGCCACCCGACCAAATTATATCTTTTGGTGCCGAGAAAGAAGTGCGCCCTTTAACCTGGGAAAGAGAAGCGGCAATGGGAAGGAAAGCCTTAAAAAATGGAGAAAGAGGGTGTAAAGTGTAAACTGATGATTCCGCCAACAAGAAAAGCTTCCCCACTTCAAACTAGGCTATCACACACCTTAGCCCGCGGTGCAAACGAGCCTGCAAGGCGCGCTTTTGGCCGCTCAAGAAGTCAACCACACTTTGCATTGCGGCCCTCAAAACAAGCCCGCGCGCTCTCAACTCGCGGATCGGGCCTATACTCGGGTTCCCCGGCCCGTCAAGTCTTCAGGCACACATGCACTTATCTCTAAAAACAAGTCTTCAGGCTCAAGAAGTCAACCACACTTTGCATTGCGGCCCTCAAAACAAGCCCGCGCGCTCTCAACTCGCGGATCGGACCTATACTCGGGTTCCCTGGCCCGTCAAGTCTTCAGGCACACATGCACTTATCTCTAAAAAAATAATGTTGTCACCGCTAGTAATCGTACCAACGTCATTCCTTAACTAAACAAGAAGCCTGACCAGCAGACTACATACCTGCCTTGTGGTCTCTAGGCTCAACACTCATATTTTAATGACTCTTCCCGCCGTTCACCCAACATAAAGGTAAGTACTCTATCCCTCTATTATTATTAAATTTGTATATATTTTACTTTCATGAGCGCTAATGGGGGCAAGACGTATGATTCGGGCCTAATTGCACATATTTTAACCCCGGTTTGCTTAGATGTTTGTGCCAAATTCGCTCATGAAAGGTTGGTTTTATGCGAGGTTCTTCGTGTTTGAGTGCTTTTCAGGATTTAACAGGTGGAACCAGCCTCGGAGTCGAAAGATTGGCGAAAAGGATCGAAAATCGGGAGAAAAGGTGAAAAAGCGCCGGTTCACGGCTAAAGGCAGGAGTTCACGGTCGTGCAAGACCGTGAAGAAGGAGCCTTGACCGTAAATCGCAAGGCGTCCAGAGCCAACGTGAAGGTTACTGACGCAATGTGAGTTCACGGTCACTAAGACCGTGAACACAAGCAGTTGCCCGTGAACTGCTGTGAGCGATGCGGAGCGTTTTGGCGCGCGGCGTGATGGTTCACGGCCGTGAACTCAACTCTTCTCGTGTTTAAAAGTTGAGCTGCAAGGAGGAGAGAGGGGGAGCCACTTTTGCGAGAGAAACACCTTCTTCAACATTCTAGTGAGAGAAGTAGAACCAAAAGAGAAAAAGAGGTTAGGGCTTGGCTTCAAAGGAGATTTTGGGAAGATTTCCCCAAGGAAATCCCAACTCAAAGGTTGAAGAAGAGAGGAGGCATCCCCAAAATATGGTTTCCACCTTTTTCCCTTTTGTTCTTCCAACTTCTTCCATGGAGTAGTCCTCCTTTCACTTGGGTGTAGTGAAACCCTAACTCTACCATGTAGTTTTCTTGTATGTGGTTTGGATGATTGATATTGGGGTATTGTTCAACTTAATGTTTGAGACATTATTCACCATGATTTTGCATGCTTGTGCTTAACAACTTAGGGGTTGTGCATATGTTGTGCTTAGCATCCTAGGGGTTGTGCATAATTATGCTTAGCACCCCTAAGTTTATGCATTTAGGTGCTAGTAATCTAATTTGCCAACTTAGCCTAGTTTAGAGAGGAAAATCCCCCTTTTAAAGGGAGACTCAATCGAGTTGGTTTTCCTTCCGCTTTCCAAGCCACCTAAACTAGGTTGAGTTACGGAAACCCTCAATATTGAATTGAACAAGTCGATTAATCGTGGTTTAACCGTCCGACCTTAGAGTTAAGTGAGGGAGTAAGTCGATTACCGGTTGTCTATACCGAGAGGGTCGAGTGACACGACCTTTCATCCTCACCTTAGTTTAGCAATCGAGACTGTGGTCTCCGACCACATACGCTTTCCTTTGCGGTTCACGATTAACGTGCCCAAGGAAATCATTGCAACCCATGTAGAATGATAGCGGTCAGGGGGAAGCGAAACCTAAGTGACTTTCCCACAAAAGAGTTTTCAAACCAAAGCATCTTTGCTTTCTTTCATTACAATTGGCAAACCTTTAAACCAAAGTTTTATCGCTACATAATGATTTCAACAACCGAAGTAGGGGTAGACGGACCGGCCCGGGTCGATTTATAAATACTTGCCCTATACTGCACCCGATTAGAGTTTAAAAACTTGGGCTCTAATTGGGTTTTAATTGTGGTGTAGTTTCGAGCGAGTCAAGTTTTTGGCGCTATTAATCTAGCTTTTATTTTCAAGTTTTGCAAGTGTTTGTTTTCTTTGCTTGTGCTAGACTTGGTGTTTTCCGATTGTTTGTAGGAGGTGCATGACCCGGAGCAACCTGACGCCCTTGCTACCACTTGACGAGGATATAAACCAAACTCTCCGATTCCTAGCAAGGGAGAGAGAGCTAGTCGATGCAAGGAGAAGGAGTGAAAGAGGGGGGACAACAATTGGGTCCCGGTGTTAGTGGAGAAGTAGTTGAAGAAGTAGAAGTTGAGCCCGTCATTGAAGAGGAAATGGCGGGGAACCAAAGGCAAGATGGAGCCGCTCAAGACCGCCATATGAATGAGGAGGCAGGAGAAGAAGGAGCCCCGAGGACGATGGGGTACTATATGGCCCCTAGGCCGGCGGACATTCAATTGCCGATCCTACATCCTCCGGTGGCGGCAAACAATTTCGAGTTCAAGCTGGCTCTAATGACTATGATACAAAGTAATGCTCTCTTCCAAGGCCATGAAAGCGAGTCACCAAGAGAGCACGTATAGAGATTCTTGGAGCTCGCGGGGAGCTTGAAGATTAATGGTGTGCCGGGCGAGGCTCTGCAACTAAGGCTTTTCCCATACTCACTCTCGGGGAAGGCACTTAGGTGGCTAAATAACCGCCCACCTCGGTCTATCACCTCATGGGACGACCTCCTCAACAAGTTTATGGCTCGTTATTGCCCGCCTTCGAAGATGGCGGAGTGGAGAAAGAATATTACACATTTCGATCAAGAAGATGACGAACCTTGAGGGATGCTTGGGAGAGGTACTCCGATTTCTTTCTTCAATTCCCTCACCACGGGTTTGAGGAACAGTTTCAGATTGAAACCTTCTACTAAGGCCTAATGCAAGAAGATAAGATACTCATTGACTCCTTATGTCACGGGAAGTTGATGAATATGGCTCCGCCGCAAATAACCGAGATCTTAGAAGACATGGCCCTTAGGGGGTATGATTGGGGTTTGACTAGAAGTGGAAGAAGAAGCAATGAAATGGGAGTGAGAAGCATGGGAGCGAGTGCTCCGCTTGAGGCAAAGTTGGATAAGTTGCTTGAGGTTATGCTTGAAGATAAAAGGCAAGGAAAATGGGCGGCAATGTAGTGCGACTGGTGCTTGAGTACTAGCCACAAGATAGTGGAGTGCCAAGCAATGAAGGAGGCAACCACTCTGGAGGAGCAAGTCAACTTTGTGGCAAATGCTAGGGTCAACAACCCGTATAGCAATACTTATAACCTTGGATGGAGGAATCACCCCAACTTTGCTTGGGCATCACCGGCTAATCTAAGGTCCCCGGGTTTCCAAGCCCCCACGACGAACTTCCAACCTCGGCCAACCTTCATCCAACAAAGGCCCCAACTCCAAGACTCAACCTTTCAACAACCTTACCAACCACAAGGTGCCCTAGGGTTTCAACAACAACATCAACCCGACAAGTTATCAAAGCTTGAGGACCTAGTGAACACCTTTGTGAGTACGAGTAGCCAAAATTTCGAGAAGATTGAGCAATTTATGGATGTGGCGACTACCAAGTTTACCTCGGTTGGGGCGGGTCTCCGAAGCCATCAAGCGAGCCTTCAAAGTTTGGAGGTGCAAATTGGCAGCCTTGCCTGTATCCTCACCGAGAGACCGAAGGGAGCTTTGCCTTCCCAAACTGTGGTGAACCCCAAGGATCAAGCCAGGGTGAATGCACTTCAAGTGAGGAGTGTGAAGGTGGTTCCGGATGCCGCCACGGAAGAAGAAATAGAGAAGGAAGAGTCCAACAAGGAAGAGACCACCCCAAAAAGAAGAGAGAAGAAGAAGAGCTTGAGGAATGAAGGGAAGGCAGCAAGGCACGCGTTTTCGGAGGATGGATATGTGCCACCTTTTCCTTATCCCACAAGGATGTACAAGGAGAGGTTGGATGATAACATCGTATTTGCACATGTTTGCACCCTCGTTTCTTGATAATTTTGGCTTGATTTTTTGCTTTCCTGGACTATTTTACGCTAGGTTGTGTTCCTCTGTCACATTTCAGGTCCTACAATGTAAATTGAAGCATAGGCGCAAGTTTCAAGTCAATCGGAGATCATTTGGCAATTCGGGAGAAGAAACACCAGCATGACCTGAGGAAGAATGGACTTCTAACTCATATAATGGAAAAATAATCATGGAATCTTGTCATGAAAAAAAAGAGGACGAGACTACGAGCATCTGGGATCAAACGACGACAGATTCGGAGTCCGGTTGAGGGAGAAACGAAGCATTAAACATGAGCGGAGGAAGAAATACGGGCAAGAGAAATACGACCGTATTTACCCCTCCCATGCCCGTATTTTCACTGCCGAGAGGAGCCTTGGATGTGCTGAAACTTAACCAAAACGCGCGTTTTGGGCAAAATACGGGCAGGAAGAATTACGACCGTAGTTCAGCTCGTATTTCGCCCAGAATCGGGTTTTTGAGGCAGATTCAAGCCAAAGAAGAGGAGTTCGAGTTTTTGAGCAAAAAATAGAGCTTTAGAGAGAGAACAAACCCTAGGAGCTATTTGGAGTGGATTTCTCACCATTGAAGCCTAGATTGCATCCCCAAGAGTGAAGATCGACATCCCAGAGCAGATTATCCTCATCTTTATGAGTATGACTACTCTGATTTCTGTTTTCCACTCTCTCTATGGAGTAGAACCTTCTCTCCCTTGGGTATGAAGAACCCTAGTTCCATGTGTTAGGAATCTTGATTATAATGACTTGGGATTGATACACTGATTGATTTTAATCGATTGATGCA